AATTCTGAAAGAATGTCTGACTTGGAGACCTGTACATATATCTTGGTGAAACTAGAGAGGATTTTTACACAGAGCTGTCCAAAGGTAAGACTCCTGCTCATGTCTTGCTTTTTATTTATAGGTGTTTAGTGTTTCCTCAGCTGTGTAACAGCTCCTCCAGATTGCCTCTAAATTACACACTGGCTCTACATCATGGTGGTAAATTAGACTTTTTTTCTCATTTCCACAGGCTCAGAGGAAATCATGACGGTTGAAGTGTCTGAGTAAAGGAATGTTATTCGCACACAAATGTCCCTCTTTCACAACAGCCTCCAACTTTTTTTCCTCTTTTTCTTTTTGTAGTGGAAACTGTGATATTTCCTAAGAACATTGGTTACCACATAAACACAGAGGACTTTAATCTTACAACCAGGAGTAAAGGAAAGAGGATAAATTTATTCCCTCATGTCGAAGCTCAACTTTAAAGCTGTTTAAAGCAAATGTTACAGACCCTGAACTCTTGATGAATTCTTTCCCCTGAATGTTTCACCACAATATCAAGTTCCTGCTGGCACCCACCCCACTCACCTGTATTAACGCGGCACTAAACTCAATTAGTTTCCTGGAAAATCTTAACCTGTCAAACAGAAACATCAACTCCTTCCTCAAAGTAGCCGTGCCAAATTGTTGACGCAGCCTAATTGGGTGAGCTGGCCTGCTTAAACGCTTCCCCTCGCCTTTAGGACTCAGTCATTTAAAGGTGCTTTGATGTTTTTCATTTGGTGTTTGTGTGACTTGGTTGAATAAGCAGTTGGCTCCAACACTCCACCTGGCTATACTCTGCGGACATAAAGACCACATCTGCGCCCAATCGGATTTAAGAACCCCCCGCTGTTGTACTTCCACTGCCCTCAACCAGACCAAAGAATATGGCTCCATTAACAGTGTACCATAAACACAAAATCCTTGTACCATGTTAGACCTTTTTTATATTTTTAGTGGGCCTCCCTCGCCTTATAAAGACGGCAGTGTCTACTTAATAAAAGCTTTGGCAAATTTATGACCCTAGTGGATTGATTTATGGTTGCCCCCTTTGCTCTTGGATCCAGCACTGCTTGCTACTGTACTGAGTTTAGAGAGCCTGGAGGGTCTTAGTGAGGACATAGTCTTAGAGAATAAGTTCTTTGATGAAGTCTCGCTGCAGAGCCAATGACAGATACTTTCCTCTGACCACAATATTATATTAACTCACAATATAAATTCACAGTAAGACTGAAAAATGATCAAAAATACTCCTTTCCCAAGAAGCAATGATCTGAGAAACGAAGAACCGCCGACACAGCGTGACAGATCTTACATGGCAGTGAAGTGTAAAGATGAATCTGTCTTACTTGTGGCTGGAAGGTGGATGTGCGGATTCTGCACTGCCGATGTGAAATTCCAACATCACCACAGGTATTAAGAGAGACGCCCATCGACTGTGACGAGAAGGTGTGTGCCTAATGGAAGGCCCACTATGAAGTCAGGAAGGACTTTCCAGGCTCTAGGCTTAGATTGGTGAAAAAAGACAACATATTTCTTCTCTCTGCTTGTTGCCTTGTCTGCTGCATCAAAGACATGAAACAGACTTTGTGAGAAACAGACAAGCGCTGTTTCAAACTGGCATTGCTTAGCTACCAACACTCTACTCTCCTCTGAGATCTCAGTTTCCATGTTCAGACTCCTGGCGTTGTAGTGAGATGACGGTACTCATAGCAGAGACCAAAAATATGTCTAGTTTCCTGCGTCTACCAACTCCCTAGACTTTGTCCTTCCATGCCTCCTTTTCTCACTCAGCTCTGAGTTTTCCTCCCCAGCTTTATGTTGACTGTCAACCAGTGGTCATTTTCAAGTATTGCCCACAAACAACAGGAATCACAAGCTGTATTTAGCGCCATGAGTGGATGTGAATCCATGAATAAGTGGAACAATATGAGAATTTTCTAGAGCTGTGTCAGCATTGAGATTGGTTGTCTATAATTAAGAAATTACAGGGATTTTTGACAAACTAAGATCATTTGTAATTTAGTCTTATAATAGCACATTTTTTATTTTTTTTTTCTAAACTTGGCTCACAGATATAATTTGGTCCCAGACTTCAAATACTGAACAGCTATTGCCTCCAGATGATTCTTGGAGTAAAGATGGACTTGACTGATGGATGGGAACATGGAGAATACGAGGACGAGACTTTGTTGAATAAAGCATCCTTTGTGAGCTTCCCCAGCCGTTTGGGCGTAAATCACAGTCTATGTCGGGGAAAAGACTTTCTTTTGGGTCTAATTTATTTGAACTCTAGCTTGAAGAATAATAAGTAAAGGTAAACAGTAATAAAAAAATCAAAGGGTTGCTTTCAGGAAATGTTCCTTTAGTGACTTTGGGTCCCTTGGAGAATCTGAATGGTGGGTCATGAGGACAACACCACCAGCAAGAAAGTGTTTGATTCTGGGCAGATTTGCTCTGTTTTTCCAAAATCTATGAGGGGGCCAAGAAGCAGTTAAACCGTCCAACCACATCTTTTATAAAAACAGGTTTTGTTTATTCATCTTGTGAAATGGTGGCGGTAGAACAACTCTTCATGTTGACATGTCTCACCACAAAATGGGTTCAGAGACACAAAATAATTGACCTGATGAAGATGTAATGCACACAGGCGTAAAGAAACACTCTGCCCTTTTCAGAAACCTTTCATAAAACCATATTTCTTGAATGGTACCTCCACTCATTTTCTTCAAACGCCCATGAGAAAAAAAGCAAATGAGAAAATCACATGTTTAAAACCCTCATAAATATCTGCTCTGTGAAATTGAGCTACAAAACCAGAACTGAACAAATAAACTCTATACTATTCACAGAGGGCATATGGTATAAATGATGAGCCGTCCATCAAGTAGAGGAACTACTGTTAATGTAAAAGTATGCTGTGGTTTTCACAGACATCATTTTGCTTGTATAATTTGTACGAGGTTGTCAACAAGTTCACATATGCAAGTATTTTCCTCTGTGGAGCCAGTAGACTGCTTTTCAACAGTTATGGAAGACAATTCCTTCTTTATGAGATTTTCCTGAGTCATATCTCATCGCTGTAGATGGGCTCTAAACTATTTTATTTTTCTTATGAGATTGTAAAATGATTTGATGGAATCTACCCCCATGAAGGCTAAAAATGTAACCTCTTTGTGAGTGTCCTTTAGACACACCTGTGGGGCTCTGGGAGTCAGTGTAAATTAAATCATCCCTTTGTAATAGAGAAGAGTATGGAATGATCTAGTTTGGCTCTATCAGAGGAATTTCTTCTTTTTTTCAGATTAGAGTCAGTTCAAATCATAGTACTGCATCTCAAGCCATGCAGGACATTCAAACATGGTTACTATCTATTTTAAATTCTCTAATGTAAAGGCAGCTTCCAGTTAGTGCAGTTTATTGACAGATTTTCTCCAAATGTCATCCTTAAGGTAACGTCTTTACAGTGAAATGTTTAACTTTAAAGATTTCCATTTCTTTGGGACCAAATAAGAAAAGGGAATATCAAATGAAAAGTTGAGGAAGGATAACAAGTAAAAAGGTATTACAAGATCTCACTCTTAACATTCCTTCATTACAATACTTCACCACTCTTCCATAAACTTTTTGTGCTGAGTGTAGTGAACTTTCTTATAATGTAAGTTCAGGAACAAGAAGTCTCTATTCGATAAATTACAAGTCCATATTTCAGCACCATATGGCTGCCTCTGTCCCTTGCTCTTGAAATGCTTCATCTCTCAGTTCAATTTGCAGGAGGGCAGTAAAATCAGCACACAATCACAAACAAAAATCCAGAGCTCCCTTGTGGGTCATACTCATTGACGATCTGGGTGAAGAACTATTTTTACAGCTGGAGAGCTGTATATGTCTGGAAGGTTTCTGCTGAAGCCACAGCCATAACTCCCTTCTGCAATGTGGGGTACCTCTGGGTAACCCTAATGGCGTTTATAACAGCTGCATTATAATAGCTGACTCATGGGGTAAACCTGAAAATACACTTTAGACCACATTTATAACACGTCTCAAATACTAAAGAGTATAATAAAAACTTTTAAAAGATGCATGTAATTATAACTTTTTAATCTTGTTTTCCCAGACTTTAAAAGAGTAGATACTACAAATAGATATACATGTACTGTATTGCTACAGATCAGCCTAATGTATAACATTACGGTTAATTATTGTGTGCAACACAATGGGTTGATGGTATTGTTTCATTTATTTTGACCTCTGAAAGCTGAAAGCTGGTGGACATAACTGAATCTGCTTTATAATGTTATAACTTTTAAGGAAAACAAAGTCATTTAATGAACTTCTAGCATGAAAGAAAGGTACTTCCCATGTAGATATGTATCCAGTGTAAAACAACTCTATACTCTTCTTTTAATTATTCTGTTTTCTTCCATTGTGAAATGTAATGAATTCTTCTCAAAACACATTTACTCACTCTTTGCCTGCTGTCCTTTTTTCATTAGCAGTTAAAGAACAAAGCAAAATATCATGGTGTCCTGACAACGAAAAGCTATGGACAATATCTGGAAAACCCTCCTCACAGCCTTAACTTCTTTCTGTCAATATTTTGTGGTTTTACTGCATGAACAGTCATAGTATCTCGTTTAGAGTGATGTCTGATCAGAGAAGTCATTACAAGTTTGACTCTGAGCTGGGTCCCCTGCAACCAGAAGACAAAGTCCAAATATGTGAAGTTAAAATGACTACTCTTTCACTTGAGGCAAAAACATTCCTTTCCTTTAAAATGTCTTAAAATGTCAATTTCTCCCCTTGTGCTGTATTTTCTCTTTTTCAATTTACAATTGTCACTTTTTGAATTACATCCAACAAGCTGTGGTCCTTGCAGATCAACATGTGGGGAACAGGTACCTCAGAGGCACAATCTGCAATTAGCCTGATCATGTCTTCACTTTGCATCTCAGTCCTTCCAACCTCATCTTTTTTTCTCACAATACATGAACATATGTGACTTTAAAGTCTGTGCCTAGGCTGTTCTTTGCCAGGCACTTATATGTGCCAGAGTCTGAGGCTGTGGGCCTCTGGATGATAAGTGTGCCCTGAGGATGGAGTAGTTCACTACCAGAGGGCCGTCCCTGTTCTGCAGCAGTCAGGACAGAATGATCAGGAAGCTGCCAGGTGATCTCTGGTTTGGGGATCCCAACCGCAGCACAGTTCAGGTGGATAGGTTTCCCAGTTATAGCCTTCACACTAGCAGATGGAGCTACTGTGATCCTTGGTGGGTAGGCAATGATAATTACAGGGACAGTCAGCACAGCCTCCCCAGCATCATTCCGAGCCCTGCAGATGTAACTTCCTCGGTCATGGATAGTAGTATCCTTAACAACTAAAGTTCCATTCTCTAGTAACTGGTAGCGCCCATGGACTTGAGGCCTAGTAAGAGTGTGGCCCCCAGGAATGGTCCAGTAGATTTTGGGCCTAGGACTCCCATCGGATAAACAGTGAAGAAAAAGAGGTTCTCCAGACATACTGCGTATGATGCCTCTCGGCCGTGTTAAAATGTAAGGCTTTTCACCAACATCCAAAACTATTAGTTTCTCTATGTAGCCCAGGTAGTTCTTGGCACCACAGCGGTACTTCCCAGCATCCTCTTTGCGAGGGTTGTAGATAACCAAAGTTCCATCATTGTCTATGCGATGTTGAGAGTCGTGTTGGTGTTCACCGGTGACTCGTGTGCCATTTGGGAAAGTCCATGTCACTTCTGGGGTTGGGCGTCCATCAGCAGAGCAGTTCAGAACTGTTGTTTTCCCAAACATAGACACGATGCGTTCATTAAAGGGGTTTTTGAAGATCGGCCTTCGTAGCATACTGGTAACCTCCAGCTGTACCACCATTACAGCCTCTCCGCCATCATTTCTTGCCACGCAAATGAACTCTGCTGTATCAGTTGGCCGCACATTGCGAAACTCCAGTGTCCCGTTATGGTGAACGTTGATCCGGCTGCCAAAATACGGTGCTTTCAGAAAGATGTTATCTGGCATAATCCATGTGACACTAGGAGCAGGACTACCCTCAGCCTTACAGTCTATTAATTTTCTGGAGAATTTAGCAGCCACATCTTTGATGACGGTCCTATTCTGTCGGAAACCATTGATCACTGGTGGATTGCCATTTATATCAAGCTTGTAGACATTTCTCTTTTCTCCAGCAAGGTTTCGAGCAATGCAAACATACTCCCCCGCATCGATAAGCCTCACAGCTCTTATATCCAGAGAGCCATTAACATGCATTAAGTATCGATCATTTGATGCAGCAATTACATCATTGGATGGTAGTATCCACATGATCTTGGGTTTTGGTTCCCCAAGTGCTTCACAATCAAAGCGAAGGTTTCCTCCAGGCATCACTACGGCATAAGTTGGGCCGGATGTACGTATCCTTGGTGGTGCCATTACCACACTGATATGGACATGCATTTCATCCTTGCCCCCCTGGTTCTCAGCATAGCAGGTGTAGTCTCCTTCCTCTGACATACCAACCTGTGGAAGTATAACAAAGCGATGTTAGAAATCTGAAAGGCATTTATGTCACACAAGTTTAGTAATATGCAACTATATACCTGGTTTAGATAAAGAGTCCCATTGTCAAATAATGTGTAGCGACGTGCTCGTCCTCCTCCACTGCTTGCATCTGACTGAAGAGCGCTGTTAACCACTGTTCCATCCGGTAATCCCCAAGAGATCTCTGGCTTTGGTGCTCCTGATGCTTTACAGTCAACCTTCAAGTCTTTACCATAGGGGACCTGCTTCTTTTCATAGAGTTTGGGCTCTATCTTGGCTGGTTTCATTGTAACACTGACTCTCAGGAGTTGAAGATCATCTCCAATATTGTTTCTTGCCACACAGAGATAGTCTCCTGCGTCTTTATCGCTAACAGTGTTAACGATTAGGGTACCGTTGTCTTGTACCTGAATCCTGCTGCCCATTCTGGAGAAAAACATGAAAAACACACAGTTAGTGACTGAGAACTAACTACTGAAGTTCTGCATGGCCCTAACAACAGTTCAAGAACGTCTTTTCCTATTTTAGCTTTTATTAGTAATCTATGTATCTGTAAATGCCATCTTTTTCTCTCTGCATTTTACCTGTGCCACTGGTCAACCACAGCTTTAGACGGCAGTCTCCACATGATCCTGGGTATGGGGTCCCCTGAAGCTGAACAGTCGAGCCGAAGCCTGTCCCCAAAGAACAACTCAGTCACGCGCTGAGATATCGCCACTATTTTAGGGGCTGATTCTTGTTTTTCAACTATCAGAGTTACCACCCTCCTCTCTGAGCCAGTTGAGCTGGTAGCAATACATTCATATTTCCCATCGTCTGCCGGAGTTACAGCCTTAATGTGAAGGGTTCCGTTGGCAGAAACAGACATCCTTGGGTTTCTTGCAGGTAGGTTAAATCGGATTAATGTCCCGTCATTGAGGACCCAGTGCACAGTGGGATGTGGGCTGCCTTGGCCAGTGCAGGGAATCCATAAGTTTTGGCTAACATCAGCTTTTAGCTGCTGACGTTTATCCTCCTTAATGCCCGGGGGTGCTGCCACCACCTGCAGTCGGACTGTAGCAGTGTCAGCTCCAGCTGGATTGCTGGCGATGCATTTGTAAAGTCCTCTGTCATAAACAGACACCTGTTCGATGACCAGAGTTCCCTCAGAAGATACTGACACTCTTCCCTTCTCTGTATTTTCACCCCTGACCTGGGTTCGGTTGGCTAGGATCCATGATATTGCAGGTGTGGGCCGACCCTCTGCTTTACATTTCATCTCCACAGTGTGTCCTGCATGAGACTTTATGTCGCGCAATTTTGGTTCCAGGATGCGTGAAGGGTAGGCCACAACAGAGAGGGTGACGAGGAGTTTGTCTGATCCATGGTCATTCTCAGCGAGGCAGAGGTACTGACCACGATCTTTTATATTGGTATTCTGGATCAACAGTGTGCCATTAGTCAGCACCTCAAACTTTCCCATTCTTCCTGAAATGGCAATGGTGTTTCCTGAAGACAAGAACAAAGTATTGTTGAAACATTCAGTTTAAAAAATTGCAAAATTTTGACTCTTCTTAACTTGTGTCCTATATTGCTTTTTTTATAAACTTTATAATCAAATCATAAATGAAGAAAATTATTTTAAACATTGCACCTTTGATGTGCCCATGTGGAATAGTCACATAAGGACAGGCAATTTTGTGACCTCAGATACATCACCACTTCTTGTTTCAGGGATTGAGCTACAATCAGTTTCTTGCGAATTTACTTTGTGAAGCCCCTCACTCAACAATTTGAACTATGCATGCAAAGTCTGAATCAGCATGTCACTGTACTGCCTTTGTTAAAGATGTCCTGTCCTGCTATTAAGACTGTATTTCCCCACTTATTTCAGTGCTTGTTGAGGTCGTTGGCACATATATAGTCCACGATTGGAACCAGTGTTTATCTTCAGTTTCTACACTTGCAGTTTTGACATATAAAAAAAGTCACTTGCATTTATTGTTATTATTAATGAGGAAATATGATTCTCCCCCTGCTTTTTGTCCTCTCCTTGACTGTACATCCTGTCTGTACACCCATTCAACCTTTTTCACCAGTGATGAACATAATGATATTGTTTTTTTTACCTGTGCTTGACGACAGGCGTCTCCAGGTTACTACTGGCTCAGGGTTCCCAACTGCCTCACATGGGAGGAAAGCATCAGAGTTGGATAATACGGTGAAGCTCGCTGCATTGCCCCCTGTGATCTTAGGCTTGCTTGTCATGACCTTTGTCGTTGGTTCAAAGCCAGGAATATTGGAACTTGACAGGATGATCATTGTATCACTGGTAAGGTCATTATCTGCACTGTTTTTGGTACCACTGCTCTGCACAGTGGGTATAACGCTCCTGATTGGGGGTCTGATGTTGCTGTTGTCTCTGGACCAAGCTGTTGTATCAGGTCTTTTTGTGGTTGCTGGCGTGGATGGGGTGGATGGGGTAAATGTAGATGAGGGGATTAAGGGTGTTTCTGTTGTAGTGTAGATGGGTAAACTGCCAGATGTGTCCCAGTCTAACTTCTCATATAAGTCATTTTCCTCCTTTTGGTTGGTGGAAACAGTCACTAGAGTTCTGTCCTCTTTCCTAGTTGGTGTGTACAGGGGATTATGGAGTGAAACAGTTCTCTGTGTTAGTCTGGTTGTCTCCATTGTAGTTTCTACAGTTGTTATCTCTGTAGTTGAAGCCTCAGTTGTAGTAGGTTGTGACTTAGTGGTTGCAGGTTTCTTGAAGGGCCTCCTGCCCCTAAAGGGCCTCCTTCTTCTTCCTTGCTGTCTCCTTGTCCCATCAGGTCTCTGTCTGCTCCCAAACCAATTATCAGGCAGACCTCCTGAACCTGATAACGTTGCGTCATCTGTGTTTTCCATTGAGGGTGGTCGAATGGTGGGTGGAGAAGGTAGGGTCTGGGATTCTGGGGGTGTTTCAGCAGTGGTTGAGGATCTGGAGTAAAAAGGTGAACTGGTTGTAGTTATAAGGCCAATGCTTGGTCCTGGTGTTGTAACCTCAACATCTCCAGAAGACAAATCATTATAGCCATCATCAAATGAGCCCTCTTCACTGCCTGTGTGTCTGGATGGGGACGAAGTCTTGGGTTCAATTAGTGAATTTGCCGGGCTAGTAAGAAAAACCATTGGGGTTGTGGTTGGAGTCGGGGTTGGGGTTGCTGTCGTAGGTCCAGCTGTAGTTGAGGTTTTTCGTGTGATTATCGGCTTTCTTAGCCTGCCCAGTATTGCTTCTTTGTCTTTGCCTCCAAACAGTCTGTTCCATGGGATTCTTCCACGAATAACCTTTGAGGCAGTTGTAGTAGTGGCAGTGGTTGTGGAAATGAGTGGTTTCCTATTTGTGGTGAAGAATGAATCAGCTGTTGTGTAAAATTCAGGGGAATCTGCGGAGGTAAAGTAGCCACTAGAAGCTTCTATCTTTGACTGAGTATGTGCTGAGGGGGATTTTGAGGTTGCGTAAGAGTTTACAGTAGAAATGACAGGTTTTGGTGTAAAAGCAGGCCTCTCTGTTATGTATAAACTGGAAGCCCTTGTTGGTTTGACCACCTGTAGATTAGTATTTTTCTTGTCTTCATCACAGTCCCCACAGTCTGAGGGTAAAGAAGAAGACAAAGATACACTAAATATTAGCAAAACAAGCAAATCACCAAAAAATGGAGCTGATACCCAACATTTCTCTCACAAAACAAATCTGCTTACCTGTGGAAAGTTCAATTTTATAAGGCACTGTTGCATTTCCCTCCTTCTTCACTGAGGGCTGTTTTAGTTTATTGATGAAGGATTGAATGTCAGTGATTCTGTTGGGCTTAATGATCCTCCTACGCCCTGGGAAGGTTCTCCTGCGGCCCCCTGCTCTGCTGTTCTTGTTTGGGATGATATGGATCTGCTGCCTTGAGATGATTGTGGATCCTGCAGACAACCGCGGAGACTTTATGGTTTGGGTTGTGTGGAGGGTTATTTCATCTTCTTGTCTCTCTGTGGTGGTGACAGCTGTGAATGTAGTCTGACTTTCTGGGTCTGTGGATGTGTGAATGATTAGCTCCACAGGGCCTGGGCCATCCTTCATCGGAGTGACATGAGGGTCTGTTGTGAGTAAGAGTGCAGCACTGGTGGAGGTCTCTGGCTCTACAGGTTGTTCTCCGGAGAACTGAAGCTGAGTTTCTTGTAATGAGTCTGTCACAGTGAGTTGAAGAGTGACTGGGCCTGGCTTGGTGGTTCTTTCCAAGGTATACAACTCTGTGTTCTCATCATCACTAGGAAGTCCTTTGTTGTGTGAAAATTGTGGTGAAACTGTATCACTTTGACTTTCACTTCTTTCTGTAGAGTCGCGTGTAAATGTTGGCATGACTGATGTAGAATCTGATTGCATATATGACTCTGTTGTTAGCTTATCCATATTTTCTGCTGCTTCAAATAGTCTGCTTCTCTGTACGTTCTCTGTAGTTGGTGTAAGTGTCCTTGACATGGAGATGAGCTGATCTTCCTCACCAGAGCCAATTTCCCCATCACCAGAAAGATCGCTGTTTTCGTCTGCTTCACTATCTGTCTTTATTCTTGATCCATCTTGGGCCTTTTTCATAAATTCAGCAAATTTCTTTGGGTCCACTTTCCTAGAGGGTTTATCAAAGACCCTGTTACTCCAGATACGGCGACTGCTGGAGTGCCCAGATCTCCTCTGTCCAAGTCTACCTCCACCACCTCTACCGCGTGATCTAGGTCGAGGATAAGGTTTATCTGAGGTAATAGTTCTGGATTCCTGACTAGTTCTGTCATATGGACTGGAAGAGGGGATCTCTGATGGAGTATTTGTGTTTTCAGCCAAGCTAGGGTCAACATTATCCTCTATTTCCATTCCTGAACCCCCTTCGTCCAACACTGTCCCAGGACTTTCTCCAGTCACTGTCACCTGAGACACAAGAAGATCAACTCCCAGGTCATTAGCAACCAAACACCTATAAAATCCTCTATCTCTCTCTGTGAGATCCTGAACCAGCAAGGTCCCATTCTCAAATACTTTCCTATTCCCTTGAGATTTGTCCAGTACCAAGTGGTCAGGGAGAATCCACTGTACAGAGGCCTTGGGACTTCCTGAAGAGCTACAATCCAAAGCCAGATTACCCCCCAGTGGCTGTGAGAGTTGAACACCGTTGACCTCGAACTCTTCCACATCCGGGGACAGAACTGTCACTCTAAAGATTAGGATGTCTGCATCCAAGTAGTTTGTGGCAATGCACCTGTAGAGGCCTGTGTCTGAGGCATCTGCGCCCCTGAGAGTGAGCTTTCCTTCGGCATTGATAATGATCCTGCTGTCCTCACTGGAGAAAGGAGCTCTTACTTTACTTCCATCAGGTAAAATCCACTCCAGCATGGGCTTTGGTTCTCCACGGATTTGGCAGTCTAATTGCGTCACACCACCTATGTTAAAGATAAAATCAATATTTTACTGAATTGAGTATTTCTTTCATATTTTGTTGTCTTGAGAACAATTTTAAAATGCTCCATGCTGTAGCACAACTTTTAAACATCAGCTAGGATTTATCATATTTAAATACAAGTTTATTTCATATCACCCACAACTATGTATTAAAGGTTAAGTGATAATTCCCACCTGTAAGTACAGTATGCTCAGTCTTGGTTTGATTATCTCTCTTTATCATCGTCCAAGAATAGCGGTCCCTCCTGGGTGATCTGTTTTCCACACGCAGGTTGACAACAGACTGGAACTTTATATGCAAAGTAGAAAAAGTGGTCGCTGTCCGGTCAAGCTGGAAGCTAACCTCCCCCTGCATCAACCACGCAGGTGAGGCTTTAATGTCAGCCTCAATGTTTGTGTGGATTTCTTCCCCTTCTTCTTCTGTTTTCGTTTGACTATACCTGTAAATCATTTCAGGGCTTCTTGCGAGCATCACGCCTCTCTCCAGTCTCATTGGAGAGTCACTGTAGCTGGCCAGTATCTGCCATAACTGCTGTATGTGTTCGTGGTCAACGTTACACACCAAGTATGTTGTGATGCCAGTAGTAAGAGCTGTGACATTGTATCCCTCCTCTTGCTCCAACGTTTGGGTCAGATCTTCAAACTCTGAGGGCCTCTGGACAGTGCAGGACAGACTGGCATCACTGTGAAACTGGTCTGTCAGGTTCATTTGTATGGAGCCTAGAGGGGCAATGAAGTCCTTTGGGGAAACTGGAGTAAAGTCCCCCTCGTCCAGGCTGATGTTTTTCTGCTTTAAATGAGGTTGGATCCAAGGTTTGGCACATACAAAGTCATCACTTGAGAGAAGGGAGAGAGGTTTGTTGAGGTACGGGGCAGGATTTTCACAAACGGGACACAGCTGGCCTCTTGGATATCTCCGGTCTCTCTTGCATTTCAGCACACCTGGGAACAATTGAATCGAGCTGTTTAGATTGTAGTTGTTGCCATGCTAGAAAAAGACATTTGTAGTTTCCTCAAGCAGATCAAACTGATCTGTAAAACCTGTTGCTGGAAAAAGTTGACCATCACTATCCAGAATGATAATCTGCAAGTTGTGTTTTACATTAACAAGTCATGAATAAACGTCATAACATCTGTTCATCTGTGTTCGGTATAGCTCTCACAATAAGAGAAGGATATTATATTGCCCACAGTTGTGCTCCTGACTTAAATATTTTCCCTTTCATACATCTTTTTTGCTTTAGATTGAATCACATATGCTATTAGTTGGCAGGGGAACAAAAATATCACCTCAAAAGTCTGCGTAGAACAACCTTTGAAGTACAAATACAATAGCAACCTTACCAGATGTGTAGCTGCAAGCACATGCATGTTGACAAAGGTTCGGTTTAGGTAAATTCCTTCATTCAGAAAGAAGGGATGCTCTTCTCTTGTAAACCTTTTACAACATCACACCTCTCTAAATGCTTTCAGAGACACACTCCTCACCTGTGTTCTTCTGTGACCACTTTGAGAACCACTTCATGTGGCAATCACACATCCACGGGTTTCCGTGGAGGAAGAGGTTCTCTAGCTGGCTGCAGCCTGAGAAAATATCTGCGGGCAGAGTGGTGAGGAGGTTGTCTGACAGGTGGATATTTCTCACTGAGGACACCTTGAACACCCCACTGTGTCTCAGTGTGATGAATGTGTCTGGGTGGAGCTGCTGGAGGTGGTTACCCTCCAGATGGACCAACTGTAGCTTGGTAAGGCCGTAGAAAGCCTCTGGGTTTATGAACTCAATATTGTTGTGGTCAATGTGGAGTCTCAGTATATTATCCAGGCCTTTGAAAGTCTCTTTGCTGATTTCCCTGACTTTGTTGAAGGACATCTTCAGGACCTGTGAGAGGAAATTCAAGACATTGCAAGTATCTTTTAAAAGCTCCTGTGTGAAATCTTTTGGTTTGTGAGAATTTCAGGACTGAGAAACACATTTCTTTACCTGTAAGGACTTGAGGTCTTGGAAGGCTCTATCTTCAATACTGTGGATAGTGTTACTGTGTAGCATCAACAACTCCAAGTTTTCAAGTCCCAAGAGATCATTTTCCCTCAGTATAGTTATACTGTTGTACCTGGAAGCAGAGGAATGAAGAGACTTCAGGCTGTGGCTGTGATGAAGCATGTCGAGTGATATATATTTCACAAATTTTAGGACAGGAAACATAACTGACATTTTTAATGCAATAAAGAAAGTTTATTTAATAAGTATGGAGATACCACTGTTGAATGTTCTGACCTCCTAAAAGCTGTGTCGAATAAAAGAGTAAAAACATCAGCCATTTTCCTCGTTTGAGAGGTTAAAAAAGGATTCTTGCACAAACCCACATTTCCTGCAGGCATGGTGACTCCAAAATTTGCTCCTCGTTTGTTTCAGTAAAGAAAGAGACATAATTGTTAACATCTGGTTCTCTTTGTCAGACATTTTTAGACTTGCAAAAGACATTTTAACAAGTTTCAGCTCAAAAGCTGCATTTTTTAAAGGGTTATGTGAATCTTAAGGCAATGCTACAGGGTACATTAGCAGCCGGACCTTACTGTAATTTCTCCATTGTCAATACAGCAAATCCTGCACGATCTTTTAGATGTGGACCTTTTAAATTCCTAGCTGATGTTATAGCTAATATCAGGTTTGAATGGTCAGTGAAGCTTGTTGTTTGTCCTTTGAAATTCCAGTTGAAGTTTTGTTACCCTAACCCTAAACCAATTCAAGGTATTCATAAAACCCATTAGCTTGCTAACTTTACCTAGCTTAAGACCAAGCTAGCTTAAAGTTTGCTAGTGACTGTCATTGCCAGTGAAACTTATTTTAATCCTCTTGAAGTTTTTTTTTTTTCTCTTGTAATTTTTTGTCCTTTTTTTAACCATCATTGTTCGTTGATAGCTCGGTATGTTAGTTTAAACTCTAAGAAGCAGTAGCCAACATAAGCCTCTTTGTAATGTAGCTGCTGCTTACACAGCCTGTGGCTTTAACAGTCAATCAATAACTGTTCCCATGGGATTTTCTGCAATACTCATTCTCAATTCTGCTCAAAGCTGAGAAGAAAACCCAAGCTCACCCCAGGTTAATTCTTTCCACAGCTGGCTGGATGTGGTCAGGTATTGCGGTCAGGTATCTGAAGGTGCAGTGCACTTCAGTAGGAACGTAGCAGGCGCATGATTTGGGGCAGTCACCACTCGTCGGCAGCAGCACAGCAGCCAAGAACAACAGAGTCTCCAGCAGTCTCCTCCGCCAGGTATGGAGTTTCACAGGCACACACACTCATTGTGCATACGTATGGGGCTGCAGCTGCATGGAACAGGGGCTAGACTTTGTGCTGTAACATTAATAAAACACACCTGGAGAGACAGGCACAGTGTATTGAAGCGTTACTTCCAGTGAGAATAATGATGATAGGCTACACAGTTGCACAAATATTATAGATAATAAATATATACAGTATAATAAAACAGATGCACAACTATAAAGCCAGTGTGTGCAACATTTCTTTACATATATATATAAAAAAAAGGACACTATGGAATGAGGATAACATTTTTGAGTATAAAAAAAAACCTAAACTACATGCAAATCTGGTTAAAAATAGTAAACACGCACAGATATATTTTATTAACCAGAAAAAAAGTATCTATAGTTTTTCTTACCACACTTCAGCAACTTTAGAAATTGGTTCTTCTGCACTTTGTGGGAAGAATAATCCAGATAAAGCAGTTAAAGGTCCAGGATGAGAGTCAGCAGTCCTCCAGTTTGATTTCTCTGATGAGTCCACTGTGTCTGACACGCAGAGGGACGGGAGGCATGTCTGTGTGAGCGCCTGGAGTTGAGCGCACACTTTAGTCTCTCTCCCCTGTCTCCCCCCCCTCCTAATCGGTTGTAACGTAACCCAAGAGTAACTGCAACCGTGGAAGAGTCTGGGAAGTGGTCTCCTGGAAATACCTTACATCTGACAGTCAGTTGTAAAACTCAAAAACTCTCCTCATCAGAACACTCAGGACCGGAGTTCAATTAAAGATAAATGCCAAGACAATAATATTTGACATGTGTTATTGGGTTTTGGAAGTAGGTCATCAAATTGTTTTGCACAGAAGCGCAGCTCAGAAGAAGGATCTGAATGCCTCCCTGATGTCAGATATTCATCAGACCTAGCTTTAATAATGGAAATGTTTCAGCTTAATCTCAGCTCTCAATTGTAATGATGAATTATACCGCATGATTAAATTTGGACCTGGTATAGAGGGGCCCCGGGCTCGTCTGCATATATACACACTCGTAGATCAAAGCTTCATTTGGTCTCAACGGTCACAGACAGATCTGTCATAGATTAGCTCTTTTGAGAGTTTTGCATTCTTCTCTCCCACTCAATGGGTCATTTAAATCTTTTGTTTTTGCTGATGTTTTTCACTAACAATAAAAACCACAAACCACCAATCATTCTAGACATATGGGGGTCAGTTTCATGTCTGGATTTTTCCAAAATCTTGTTATTTTCACTTTTTTTTTTCTCTGCCAAGAACTCTGTGCCCACAAACCGGGGTATTTACGCTCTTCTGCTAGTTCCTCACACATGAGCTGCATCAGAAATATTTTTGTCTGCCTCTTCTTTCCTAAATATGAAACATAAAACCTGAAAGTAGACTGTATGAATAATGTTGTATTAAAATCTGAGCTTTATAAACAAACTCTTGCTGAAGCCCCTCATCTCTTTCTGTGTCTCATACTATAACAGTAGTATGGTCAGTCCTGTAGAGCTTCTTGAGGACTTTTTGGTTTGAGTCACTCTGGCCCCCTGAGTGGACAAAGCAGTCTTTTTTGACTTTGCCCCATAAACATGTGTAATGAATGTGTCTTGACAAGAATCTCAGATGAATCACTCACTGAGAATCTGCGCTGTGGGACATGAAACTGGTTGTATCAGCAGCATGTGGTTATTCACTTGGTCTGACCCCCTACCAGGGGTTTCAGGCATTGACATTGATTTTTCATGGACCTTTTATGAAACTTGTCCCACTTGTGATCATATTCTGGGTATGGTGTTTATGTGCACACATAGAAACCTAGCCATCATATACATGTATGCATTATCAATATTTGCTTTGTTATTCCAATTGCTGGTTCTTTGAGATTAACCTTTGCATGTGACTTGTTGGCAAACTGGGTTCAATCTTAAAGTTTGCATGTTTTAAGGAGACTCATTTTTAGTGTCACTGTCAACATGTCAAAGGCATTTACAAGTAAACAGTATTTATGAAACAGCTACCTTTAAACTACAACTGCTGCAAGCTGTTTTTACATCATATAATGTGTGTTTTGGTCTTCATAAAGCTACACGTATGGTCTTTCTCATCCTCACAAAGCTGCCAAATCAACATCATACGCAGACTTTGAATGCACAACAACGCAGGCATGTTTCACAACCACACACACAGATGACAGTGCACACATGGGCCAACACTGTATTGAAACCTCTGAGTAATTTCTGAACCTCACAGAGAGAAAGAAAGAGAACAGATACCATCAAACTCGCTGTGTTTGCAGATGACTAATTTGCATGGTATGGGGATTTATGGGGTTCTCTTTCATCGATTACTTCAGGTCATAGGCCAGGTTGGCATGTTCCATTGCATGTGTTGTCATCGTTGTTTATTCAAACATCTGGACAACAGACCAGCATATGTGAGCAACTAATCTACTCTGTCTCAAATCTGATTTTTCAGGGGCTTCAAAGATCTGCACTTACAACCCAAGAGCAAAGCACTATAATCGATGGATTGATTGAGTTTGCTACTGTAAATTAAGATTGTTAAAACTGTCCCTGTGTGGGTACGAGGAGGCTGTGATGTGTTAACAATAACACACTCCCGAGGGCCGTCAGTCTTATGTCCGATGCTTTACCATGGCTTGTTGACGCCGGCATGTGATTTTCTTAGAAACACCAACTTTCAAAGAAGCCGTTTTTTTCTCAATTTCGATTGATTCAGTTGGGAGAGATTTTAAAGATTCTGCTAATAAAGTGGAAGTGATATTAGAGGAAGACTAATCAAAGTTAATGAGGTCATGAACAAAGTCTTCACAAGAGCTGAAGAAGGGTAGGGAGTTGAGGAGAGAAGAAGACAGGAAGAAGATAGATTCATGTGTGTGTGTGCTTATCTTTGCAGCCAGCAACAAACAAAGTGATGTGTTTGTTTGAATCACAAAGTTGAATCAGGTCCATCCTTTTACTTCTTGCCAGGCAAACAGTTTCTCTTTGGCTTTAATTAACCCCAGATGATGGAGTACTACAAGGGGCAGCTGTATTATTCTCTGAGCTACAATTCTTAGATTTAGGACTCCCCTTGGTTTTGAAACGACTTTGATTTAGCAGCATGTTGTTTGATTTACGGAAATTCCTCACGGTTTGTTTGCTGACAGTGGGGAATGATAAACTAATATTGCTTTCTTCCTCTTCTATCTCTTCTCAGTGTGGGCTAAAGGGAGTGCGGAGGAACTGGGTCGGCCGTTAAAAGTCACAGCTAGATGGTAGGCTCTGAGGAATCTGTAGACACATATTGCATTGGCCTCAGCCTCCTCACACTCTGTGCTCGCTTAGGACTTGGGGCCCACCTCTGTGGGAGGCGAATGACAGGAATAGTGTGGTTTGGAAAATATATCACCTTACATGAGACGCTCTTTCAACATCCTTGACATGTTTTTCCTCACGTGTGGAATTCTGTCCTAATAATTCAGTGCATTTTATGACTCTCGTTTCTTTATGTTGCAATTATACCTTTCACTTTACAAGGCAGATATCGGTCAGGTCGATATACCGTCTGGAACATAGGAAAGAAAGAGAATCCAGAATTGTTGCGTGGGCAAACAGTGAGGATCTTTTAATAGTTTGAAGAGAGAAACATCACCCTGAAATGAACTGAACAAAACAGCACAAAGCAATTATTTTGTTAGCCTACATTTGGTTTGCTTTGGCAAGAAGTGATTACACAATAAAAGCAGAAAAAGGGGGTCAGCGATTGTTGCATAGATCATCAGCAGATCTCCAGCAAGATCGGTTTTGGCTGTTCGACTTTGGTTTCTCAACTATTCAAAGCCAGCGTGAGTTTGGATTCGTCAATCTTAACCCAAATAAGCATAACCCCTCAATTATTTGTGATGTTTGCACAAGAAAAGAAGCACAAATCAGAAAAACAAACAGACTTTAAATGATACCATTTTGTGTTTTTCTTACATTTTAGTGGTTTAATCTCCATTAATCTCACTCTCGAATAGATTTATGTTCATGAAAATAGTTTTAAACATAGGATTTCTAGTCTACAATTATTCCTAAGTCTTTTCAGGTGTTGAAGTTTTTCCCTTTAACTCCACTTTATTGGCTCGTCCGTTCATTTAGAGTTGAGGCTCCCAAGTAGTTGGAGCTGTAGTGGTCATGTTTCAGTGTACAGGACCAGTCTGGTGCACTGATTTCTTGTTTGCGGTCGAAGCCATGTGTTACAAATCAATAATCCTTCCTGGGGGATATCATGGAGTCGTAAACAGCTGTGATGACTCTTGATGACACACAAAAGTGCTGAATGTGTTTATGTTTGTCATAAAATTTACTCTGGTTTGGCTTTATTAAAATCAAAAAGGAGGCGGTGTGTAAGGTTGTGCAGGTTTTAAGGAAAAGTAGTTCTAGGAATTCAGTGAAGTGACTTCTCGCTCTGACTCAGATTTCACTCACCGCTGATGAAACGAAGCCGAGTTCTTCCAAACATTCTGATCGATGTAAACCGAGTCAGCCGAGTCAAAGGTGCAAGTCAGAAGTCCAAAGCGACCTTTGGCTTTTTAGGGTCATGTGGCATGGTGACAATAACGTAAGACAGGGAGGCGCAGTAGCTTAGAATATACTTATGTCAGTCAAAGACATGCCACTCAAAACTCTTAAAAAATGAGTGATTTAGACCACAACTGTTTTCAATACTATGCTGGAATGTTTTGTTTTAAAGTTGAGCAGTTTCACGGGGGACTAAATGGAGATTTCTTGGTTTTTGAGCCAGTTTGAAATGGACAATTGAGAAACTACTTCTTTTTTGTATTAAAGGCAGTATGAGGAATTTTCAGCTGGCGGAGAAACAGACCAAAACTGAAACCTCCTAGGGACTTCCAAAAGCAAACAAGACCATCAGCCATAAAGATGATTATTTCTCTGTTGTAATTTTCAATGCCTGCAACTGATGAGAAGGGGGGTAGGTGTGAGACCAGATGAATATTTGCTTTTTCCATCCCTTTTACATG